AAAATATATTTTAATAATAATATATATATATATAAATATTAACACATTTTACAAGCAGAAAATTTATTTTATATTTAATATTTGTAAGTGTAAATTAATTTTATGATTGTGAAATATTGTAAATATTATATACATAATATTATGTTTTATTATTTGTTTTATATTTTAAAAATGATAAATCTTAGTATTATATTTATAAATTTATTACAATTTATTACAGTCTCTCTCTCTCTTACTTTTAAAATATTTTTTAAAATTTACATAAATTCCATCAGAATATATTTATTAATCTTAACAAAATGATCATGATCATAAATAAGCAAATCATTTTTGCCATTTACATTATAATTATGCTAATCAATTTATTAATCTTTAAATCTAACATTAAATAATATTGAAAATTCCTAAAATTATGTTTAAACACAATATACATTTTGGTATTCTCTTTGAAAAGCAGTGTTTCTTGTATTTGTTAAAATATCAGTTCTTGGTCTACGGAAGAGTAGTACATGTGGTTCTGAAAAATTATATAAATTTACAAGAATTAATATATGTATATTGTTTATTATATTATAATTTTATTCAATGTAAATATTTTACAAGTAAATATTTTTATTTATTTATAACGTTTATATTTTAATTTAAAATATATATTATTATATACAATTATATATAATATTATTATATATAAATTTATTTGAATTGCTTAAAGACAAATAAAATTGCATGAAAAATGTAAATTATATTTATATATTTATAAAGATTTTTTGACAAAATCAATTTATTTCTAACGAACTTTAATAAACTATATAAACAAATTTTTTGAACATTTTATTTTATAAATTTATTTATTTATAATTTATACCTGGTACATGCATCATATAATGTACCCAACCTGGACTTTGTTGAACTCCTAAATTTCTCCATTCTGTTTCTGACATAAGATGAGTTTTTGGAACATGTCTTGCTAAATCAGCTGGTAAAATAACATGTCTGTAAACAAATAATTGCTTATTATGAATTTATATTTATTGTAGCTTTATAAATTTTTAGTTTTAGTTATGAATAATAAATAATTTATCTTTTTATTATAAACATTTTTTTATAAAATATTTATGAATTATTGTATATATCCAAGTAATCAAAAAATAATAATAATAATAATAATAATAAAAATGTAATATAAAATAATATTTTTAATATATTGAAATATATAATGAAATATATAAGATTATATTTTACATATATATTTTATATATATGGTATAAGAATAAGAGAATTTATATATATATATATATATATACACATATATATATTCTTTAATTTTCGATAAAGTTATATATTAGAGATCTTTGTGTATTTTAATTTATATTTTATATTTAATATTTCAAGATGAATTAACTAGATTTTTGTACGAACCTATATTCATATTTATCGTCGTTATATTTTTCAGAATATTGTATTTGATCAGCTGGCATATTATATTTGAATGAAAGTTATAAATTTATAAAAAATATAAGTCCTTTTTTTTTATAAGATTGTTTTCATAACAATTGTATGTGTACATATATAACAATGAATTTCACCTTATTATATATAATTTTAAATAAATTTCAACACTAGACAAACTTAGTATTGGTAGTAATTTTTTTTCAAAAGCCATAACAGGTTGCACAGGTATATGCATGCTTTAGAAACTAATGCGCCCTCTTTTATAATTCCATTTAATTCATAGTAAATTTAGAAAAAAAAAAACATTAAAAATTCAAGAAATATAATTTAAAAAAATAAATCTGTTAAAATTCTAAAATATTTTGAAAGTTTAATAAATCGATAAAATTCTAATTTTTGCTAATAAAAAATGCAAGATTTATGTCCACTTTGTTTAAAAAATGGCATTAAAAAGAAAATAAAATTATTACAAATTAATTTACAAGAAGCTGTATGGATGTGTGAAGAAGAAAAGGTAAATTTATTATTTTAATTTACAAAAATTGAATATAAATATAATATCTTTTTTTTTATTGATAGTATTTCAATATTTAATAATATAACCTTATATACAACGATAAAAAGAATTTGAAAAAATAAATATGTAAAATATGTAATTTTGTTATTTTATTCTCATTTTGTATTACATAATTAATTTATTTTATATTTTAGTGTATATGGCCTCTTGGATATGAAGATTTTGTATTTTGTCCAAGAGCAGTGGGAAAAATCTGGTCTTGTTATTGGGATGATTATAAACCAACAATAACAAAATTAAAAGAAAATATAACATCAACAAAATCTTTATGTAATACATTTGCATCACCAATGAAGCAAACACCAAAGGAAATGGTTGATGATTTAAATATGTATTACATAGAAAATATTAATATTACAAGTAATAGTTCAAATATAATAAATTCAAAAACTATTCTTGATCAATGTACTTCTGTTCCTGAAGGTTCAAGTATGATAGGAAATATTGATATTAAAGCACAATACAATGACAATAATATTATTTTAAATAAAGAAATTAATAATATAAATATGCATAATAAAAATTTTCAATTAATTGACAATAATATGGAAAATATAAAAATTAAAAATGAATGGATAGGTACATTGAATAAAAATATTAAAGAAAAAAATGTTCCTTCAATAGAAAATATTAAAAATATAAATAGAAGAACTCCAAAAATAACAAATGTTGAAAAAACAAATATTGATATTTCTAGTATTAATATAGGAAATCAAATTTCTGTCTATGAGGATTCAAATAAAAAATTTTGAATATTGAATCTAAAGATATTGCAGAAACTAAATTAATATCAAAAATTGAAACATTACCAAATTTAGAATCAAATAAAAACCAAAATAATGAAAGTATATTAAAATCTAATTTAAATGTCACTAAGATGGAAATAGATGGTTTACCACCTATAACATTATCTTTTGAAATTCCATTATGTACTACAACTACTGAAACAGTAAAAAATATAATACAACAAACTGATTATAAAAGTAATAATACAAAATCAAATTCTTTAGAAATAAAAAATACATTTGTAAAAAGAAATATAACTAGTGGTAAACAATATGAAAAATTTAGTTTTAGTGCTATTAAGAAAAATAAGGAATCAAATAATTCTAATATTGTTAGTAATATTAATAATATTAATAATAATTCCTTAAGTATGAAAACAAATCCAACAGTTAAAACAGAAAATTATTTAACAGAAACAGACATAAATGCTGTTCTATATCAAATCAATTTAATAATTCTATAACTTCATTAAATCAAGAAAGTATAACATCTGATATTTTAACTACAAATACTAGTATAAATATAGATACTGTTTTAGAAGATTATTTAACTAATGATTATAATGTTTCCGAAGATATAAATGATGAGTGGATAAATTCTTTGTTGAGCTAACATTTATAGTATATATACTTATAAAAATTTAATTTATAATTATATATATAAGTTACATGATATTATTAAATTATTTTATATGAAATATATTTCATAAATATTTCATATTTAAATTAATTGTATTTGTAATTACAAATAAAATTTTAAAAGAATCTCAGTATTTTTATTTATATAAAAATATTTTCATATGTAATTATTAAAATTTTTAATATTTTTAATATTTTTAATATGATTGTTTTATTATAAAACACATAATTTAATTATATATTATGAAATCATAATTTCATTAATAATATGATAAATGTGATATAGGAATGAGACATATTTAAAAGATATAATGCAGCTTTATCAATATGTATATATGTATATATATGTGTAATATATTTAAATATATATAATATTACAAATATTATAATAATTTTGTGATTAATTATATATACATTTTAAAAGTATCTGATATTATTTAATTTAAATAATTTGCAAATTCAGTATAAAAATAATTTTATTTCTATACAATTTTAAAATAAGAAAAATATCTACAATTTCTACTTCTTATAATCCATTTAAAAAATGTAAATTTTATATAATTGTATTATAGAATTATTTATAATGTGTTATGTTTTCACATCATTTTTTTTAAAAAAAGAAAAAAAGGAAAATAAAATATAAACTTTTCATATATTTTGATATAAATAACATATACTCATTTTATAGTTATTTTATGTGTATCACGTATATTACAATATAATACAATTTATGCATAAATTGTTACGACAATATATTTAATGGAAATCGTCTTTTAAATATAATCAGTACTATTAAGATGATTATTTTGAGATATTATAATTGTACATAATAAACAAAAATGGTTTCATGTATTTTATAATCCAATTATATCTAACGAATATAACATTTAAATATATAAATATTTTTAAAATTGTCAAAGTAATTATTACATGTGTATTTAATATTCTTTTGAAAAATATATACATATTTCCTTATTTACGAACTGACAAAGAATTTATTTCTGTAATTAGCTATTTTTGTGATATCCTTAAAGGCAAACATTTAAACTTTAAACAGAGTTTTATGATACTTAAAATATATGTTCTAAAAAAAGCAAGTTTATTATACAATATAATATATTTTTTAAAAAACTCCAATATTCTTTTGCAATATGAAATAAGAGCAAAATGAAAGTGAAAATAAAATATGCAGAAAATTATTGCAAAAAATATATTTATATTGTACAATTACAATAAATTGCAAGACAAAATTGTTATTTACCTATCAATAAAAAGGCGCTTATAAATATTTTGTATTCAGCTTTTTTCTTTATCTTTTAAAATTTTTATTTTTCGACCTAACAGATCATATTTAGAATGATTTGGTTCTGGATCCTGATCTGTATCTGAACTACATTCGCTATCGCTAGAATCTTCGTAGGAACCAAGACCAGGTAAAATTCCAATACATTTCATACCTCCTGTTTCATTTGTTATATTTTTATCTTCTGAAGTATCTTTAAATGCAGATTCACAATCAGTAATTATCTGTTCATTTATTTCACAGTCTTCTTTTTTTGATGTATCTTTATTTTCTTCAGATAATTTTCTTTTAATACCTCGCATAACATCTATATAAATATAATATTAAACTAATATTAAGATTTGAAAAATATTAAATTATATTTGTAATCTTTTACATGTATTGAATATATAGTTTTTTTTCATAATAATAATATTATTTTTTTATCCAATAGTTAATAATTTATCATTAAAAAATTTAATACATTAAAATTTTATATTTACCTTGTTTTTGTTGTTTCTCAGGACGTTTAACTACTACTCCAGCTAATAATTTTAATTGGGAAGTACGACTACAAAAAAACAATTTATTTTTTAATATTATAAAATATATATTATTTTTATATTATTCATAATAAAAAATTATAAAAAATTTGAAATTAAATATTAATTATTATTTATTATATAATTTAATATTATTATATAAAATATATTATATAATTTATTTTACGATATCTAAAATATAATGAAGAAATGAATTATATTAGAATATATTTAATAAATTATTATATTACCTTCCAGAAGAAATATTTTTATTCATAATTTGAGGATTTTTTAATTCTTGTTTTAATTTTTCATTTAAAGATTTTTCTTGTAATGAAGCAACAGCAGCTTTGAAATCTCGCATTTCTTTTTCTTCTTCAAGATTTTTTTTACGTTCTTCTTCTAATTTTGTTCTATCTACCAAATCTAAAAATTCCACTTCATCATCATCTAAACCTTTTATCATATTTTCTGAAATAAAAAAATAATTTTATAATATAAAAGAAATTATTAGATATTATGTTCTATATAATTTTTAACTCACTTAATTTATGTGCCTCTTCATATTCTGCATCTCTTTTGTTTTTTTGTTCTTGTAATCGTTCATATAATGATCTTGGATCATATGGTTCCTCTGGAGCTTCTACAAAAATTAAAAAAAATATAGATGATGATAGCACAATACATATATATATATGTTATATATAATTATAATACATATATATATAATGTTTTATATACATGTATATATATAATTCCAAAAAAATTATTTTAATTTATTAAATAATTTTAATTTTATTAAATTATATTTTAAATTATCTATAATGAAACAAACTATGATAAAAACTATATGTGTATAACAATTTTAAAATATGTTATATATGTTATAGTTTTTTACTAAATAAATATACTTTCAAATTCAATTGTTAAAATACAATATAAAATATAGATAAGAATAACCTAATGGTTGATCTGCAGTTCGTACACGTTCCCATTCTTCTTGTCTTATTCTACGTTGTTCTGCAATCTCAGCTTCTGATATAAACCCTGAACTCATTTTGAACTAAAAAATTAGAAAACTCAAATTATAAAATTCAAATCCTTTATAATTCAAAATAGTGCTTACAAATAACTTTAATTATTTATTATTATAATTAAAAATTGATTAAATAATATATAAAAAAATAATAAATTTATTGATGTTAACAATTATCTTGCAAATTCAGCAGACTCAAATGACATAGAAAATATTATTTAATTATAAATTATATATAAATATTATTTTTAAAAGAATAAAATATGGAATAATATTATAATATTTATATCATAATGATAGGTAACATATATGTTTCTATTGAAATAATTATATTAACTTACCACTTTTATTTATAATAAATTTTGATAAATTATATGAATACTTAATAGCGCAAAGGATATTTATTTTTAGTATTTGTGAAATTTTTATTTTTACAAACATTCAACATTTATATATTTAATTTTTCACTTCTCAGTACAATTTAAAAATTAAAATTGTTTGAAAATTTTATCAATTTTTAAAATAGTTATATCCAGTACGTTAAATCGAGTTTCAAAACATTAAATTGAATAATTTAACGTATTAATATTTGTCTAGGAATATTTGACATTCTAAATTTTAAATACGAAGTTTCCTTTTTTTTAAATTTGTTAAATAATAATTTTTTATGAAATGTTTTTTATTTTGATAAAATATTTTCAATATAAGTTAAATTTAATAATGCTTGTAAATCAGTATTCTTAGATAAATATTTAGTGCTTTCCGAAGGATGCAGAGGTTAAGTCTTAGATTTTAACTTGAATGATTATAATTATGGATGATTATATATATTGAATATTTTATTGTAATTAGATCATTTGTTCTACACAATCAAAATTAGATTAAATAATTTTTTTATTATTCTATATTAATTTATATCACAAAAATGATATTTGATACCACGAAAATTAACTGCTTATACTTGGTTACTTAGAACTTTATACGCATGCGTGAAATACTAGAGTATAATATATAAGTATAATACACAATATGTACACATTCACATATAATAAAATATAACCACATATAATGTTCTCTATTCAATTTTAAAGTTTTAAATCTTATTTTTTATAATATTCTGATTTCACTTCAATTTGAAATTTGAAAAAAATAAATATATATAAAAAATAAATTATGTAACAATTATATATAAATTATAAAATATTGAATTTTCATTTTACTTAATTATAATTATAAAATTTACAATATCAAAATTATCTTAAATAATTTTATTCGTAAATTAAACTATAAATTTTACTAATATAGAATGAAAAAATAACAATCTTTGAAAAAATTATTTCAAATATTTTTATTTTTTAAACAAATTATACATATGTCTCTGGAAATTCAAATGTTACATCTCGACCTGTTAATTTCTTATACACAGCTGCAAAAGTGTCAACCTAATAAATAAAATATTGCATTATTTTATATAATTCTATAATACTTTATATAATTATCAATAAAAAATAAATAAATAAATAATAAATAAACAAAGTTGATTTATATTTATACAACTATTATACATATTATACAGTCTATTATACAACTAAACTTTTATATTTTGAAGTAATAAAATAAAATAAATTTATAAAATAAATCATATTAAAAATTTATTTACCTTATGTTCTATGTTTGTTTGTTCATTTTTATCTAAATGAACTTTAATAAGTTGTGTACCATCAAGTTTAATTCTTATGCGTTTTCCAACAATCTCTACAGGATATACTAAATCTTCCAATAATGCATCATATACTGCTGTTAAGGTACGACTATAAAAACATATTTGTTATATTTATTATCAATTTAAACAATAATATAAATAATTAATAATAAATACATTTTATTAATATTTTAGATAAAATTATGATACCTTCTTGGCCTTTTTTGTTTGTTTTTAGTACGTGTTTTCCTTGTTGGTTTAGGCAAAATTTTACGTTCTCCAACAAACATAACATGTTTTCCAGAAAATTTTTTTTCTAATTCACGTACAAGTCTAGTTTGAATTTTTTGAAATGCCTTTAACTTTGGCATGGGTACATATATAATAATGCACTAAAATAAATATCAAATTATTTTATTTATATTATATTAGTATATATTTATTTTAAAATTTCAATATAAAAAAATAAAGATTCATATTAAAATTATATTTAGAAAATATTAAAATATTTTATCATTCACAATCTTATGAAATAAAATTAAATCTATATTTTAAGTTAATATTTAGTAAAAATTAATATGTTATATATAATGATTAAAAATTTATGATATAAAATAAGATATCTTTTACCTTTTTATTATTAGTTTCTATTTCACGTGCTTTAGTAATATAAAGTTCCCGTAATTGCGATTTTAAATCGCTATTCATTTCCAATTCCAGCAAAGCTTGAGAAATGCTGGCTTCGAACGCATCAGGTTCGGCTCCACCACTTTTTATGATTTTAGCATTTGCTGGAAACATCTTTAAAAATATTTAAAGATTAAAATCTATTCTTGTTTATAAATAAATACTTTATAAGTTTTAGATAGTTTATGTATTCAATAGAAATTTAATTGGAAGATAAATTTCATTTGAAATTAATTATTTAAGTAAAAACTTTAGAATTTTAAATAAAATACAATATATACTGTCAAATATTGTTAAAATATGTGTTAAATAAAATCCATTTTTATCACATTTTATATATATAATCCAAAAAAAAAATTAATTTATCTAATAAATTGCAATGTTATAAATAACATGCAAAATATCATTTAATGTTTTCTAATTCATTTTAACTTTGTTTTCAGTTAAAAACTAAACTGTTTTTCGCATGTACCTTGACGATATCCGCACCGTATGAAAAAGATCCAATATGTCCATAGATAGTAGTACCAACCATTCTATATATCTACAAAATATCTCTATATTTCTTTATATTTTTAGTTAATTTAATAAATTCTTAATTAAATATTTAAATTAATTTAATAATTTAAGTTGATTAATTTTTAAATAATATTATATTTTAATTTAATCATAATATTTTTATTGTATATATATATAGATATATTATAAAAATTTATTTTTCATAAAAAATATTTGCATCTTATGAAATAAAGTTACTTCAAAAAATAAATGTATGTATTTTTGATATAATTATTTAATGTACATATATTTTATATTTAAAATTAAATTAACTTTTTAAAATTCATAAATTCATTAAATTATAGTTTTATATAAATGTATTTTTATATTACATTTTTATTTATATATAGTTCTTTTATAACTTATAAATCTTTTTTCTCAAATAATATTTAAAAATTTATTTTCATTTTATATTTATCAATTTTTTTAACGAATTTAACAAATTTTATTTTATAATTTTTCTTGTGTTTGTAAACATGTATTGCTAATGTGTATCTTACTTCAAAATAATGCAATCACATGTTATGCGTTAAATATATAATATCTAATAGTTTAATATCTATATAATATGTGACCTGTTTTGAGGTTAAAAGAAAGAAGTTTAAAAATATTTATAAATTGTATATTGTAATTAAAAATATGGCAGATGTAGAACATTCAGGAAGAGAAGGACACAGACAATCCTTCACTATTTTTGGAGAACCAGTAATTAAAACAAAATGTCAAAGAAATGCTTTCATAACTGCTATTACTGGTGGCATAATTTGTGGATTAATTTCATTTTTAATAACAAGTAATTCAAGAAAATCTACACGAATAGGAATGGCTTCTTACGGTGCAATAGGAATTAGCTATGCAATATATTGTGCAGTTGATGAAATTAATACAAGAAATGAATTAAAAAAACTCAGGCACCTTTTGTATGAAACATCTAAATCGGATAATACTAGCAATAAAAAATTAGTTGATGTATAAAATATATTTGAAATTTTTATAAAATCTGTAAATAATAGTTATAATGTACTTATGATAATAAAAAGATACAATGTTTTTTTGTGAAAAATATAAATGCAATAGTAAATATCAAAATAAATATTAATATATTTAAAATAATTATTATATTAAAAATAACATATTTAAAATAAATTATAAGTAAACAATAATAAAATATATACAATTCACATTTTTGTTTTATTCATATTAATATTAATATAATTTTTTTTTTTATATACTTAGATATTTATATTATTTAAATATTTTGATAATAAAATTAAATTTAAATAATAAGACATTATTTATATATTATATTTAAGTAATAAAACATTTTGTTACTTTTGCATAATAAGAAAATAAAAGTATTTATATTTTTCATAAAAAATAGTTTTTATCATTAATTTCAATTAATTAAATAAAATTAAATATTAAAAAAAATTAAATATTGACTTTTAAAAAATATAAAAATATATAAATTTATGAAAATAAAGCTAAGTAATAAAATTTTTATTATTTATCTTTTATGTTTTCATTTATTTATTTATATTTTTGTTTATTTAATTAAAAGTATATAAAAGCAAATATTATCTATCTAAAAATATGAAATAATTATTGAATAATTTTATAATAATTAATGTTTTGAATTTATACATTAAAAATATATAATTTTTTTACATTGGGTTTTAAGAATTTAATTAAATTTATTAAAAAATTTGTTCTTTAAATTGATGTTTCATTAATGTACAACAGAGGGTGCTGAAAGGAGCATAATATTAAGAAAGATTCTGTTTGTTATATGCTCATTGGTGTTTGGCGTTTGGTGGGGCGTGTATGACATCACGACGCATGTTTCATACTATCGAATATGCCGAGTGACAGGTGGTGTAGTAGTTCTGTTACATACTGTGTATCGAGGATACAAGTCGTATCCTCGCGTCACGCGATCGGCACGTTGTCATTCGTAGGTGTCAGTGTTAAATTTTGTGATGCATACCACGATTTCACGCAATCTACTTGAGAGATTCTACTCTACAAGAAGAGGTGATTTTATTATTTCAATTCATATCTAAAATTTGGTCTTTTAGAGTATCATGTTATCATTATACCATGATCAACAAAATTTTATGGAGATACAAGGAAATCTCCATTGTGTTCTGTTCTAAGTTTTAAATATACGTCAATGGAAAATCCTTTCATAGAGAAATACTTATTCGATAATATTTATATACGAATATAAAACAGTGGTTTTCAAATCGATTTTTTTTTATCTATTTTCTGTAACTTATTTAAATTTGATTAATATAATATTATAAAATTTTTAATATAATGATTTAATTGATTTATGAATTGATGTTATATTTTGTAAAAAAAATTTGATTTTAATATTTACATATATATATAAAATAAGCTGACCGGAATTGCTTAGGATAATTTAACAATTTTTTATGTGTAAATAATGCAGTTTTAATCTTCCATATGCATTATTTATAAACCTTATATAACATTTACCATGAATTGTTACGATACCAAGCAGTATAGAAATTCGGTTCGATTTTGGACAGGTTTGATGACATCTGTAATAAACTTTTGGTATGAAAAAGACAATTTATTTTTTCCAGTGTTTTTGAGACAACTATACAACAGGCCAGGCATAGGGCCACACGGAATTTTATTTCTGTGAGTAAATTCGAGTATATACAACTCGATTTCCAAATATAATTTTTGGTAAAAAGGTACTTAGGAAAGGTTAAGGTGCATGTGTAACACATCTAGGGGTTTTTTTTTCCTTTTGCTTTAGTCAACTAATAAAATTCTTTATTTTTATTTCTTTGCCTTTCTTTTCTCTTTTTATTCTTTTATTTATCTCTAAATTAATGAATTATTTTTAGTCAAGTGTAATAAAAAAATATGTTGTCATAAATTTTATATAAATTTTTGAAATGAATTTAAATTTGAATTAAATTAATTTTTACGTTAAATGGAGTGAATTACATTCACAATAAGAGTATATATCGAATAAATTTTATTGGAAATGAAAAAAATTAAAATATTACGAAAAATTGAAATTTGATGAATAGCTTGAAACTTGAATACTTAACTTATATATATTCGTTTTAAATTTTATCTAATATTAGATAATATAATATGTATATTTAAAGAATTTTATTTATTAGTAAATTTAATAACAAAATATGTTAATGTAAAAGCTTTTTTCATATATATTATTGACTCTTCAATATTTCGGTCAGTATCGATTTTAACATGTGAAACTGGGTAGAGGTCCTTTATTTGAAATATCTCAATGCGGATTCTGTAGTTTCGGTCTTCTGAAATGTTAGAGAATATAATTTTTTTTTCTAAACTTAAGTTTATATTATTAATATATATATATATATATATATATATATATATATATATATAT